TTTAAGACATGTTTGAAGTTTGACCAGCTGACCTGATTCATTTGGCTTCATAGATAAATATAACTGAGTATCATCTGCATAGCAATGGAAATTTATGTTGTGCTTCCTGATAATATTGCCTAAAGGGAGCATGTATAAAGTGAAGAGAATTGGACCTAACACAGAGCCCTGTGGAACGTCGTGACTAACTTCAGTTTGTGTGGAACATTTGTCATTAACATGAACAAATTGAAATCTTTCTGATAAATAAGATTTGAACCAACTTAGTGCAGTTCCTTTAATCCCAATAACATGTTCAAGTCTCTGCAGTAAGATGCTGTGATCAATGGTTTCAAAAGCAGCACTGAGATCTAAGAGGACAAGTATGGAGACGAGTCCTTTGTCCGAGGCTAGGAGAAGATCATTGGTGACTTTCACCAATGTGGTTTCTGTACTGTGATGGACTCTAAATCCTGACTGAAAATCCTCAAACAAATCATTCTTGTGCAAGTGGTCACATAACTGCTTTGCAACAACTTATTCAAGTATTTTGGAAATAAATGGGAGATTGGATATTGGTCTATAATTAGCTAGGACACCTGGGTCAAGAGTAGGCTTTTTGAGTAGAGCTTTAATTACTGCAGCTTTAAAAGCCTGTGGAACATAACCTGTTAATAGAGAGAGGTTAATCAGATCTAGTATGGATGTGTTGATTAGGGGAAAGACGTCTTTGAGCAGCCTGGTCGGGATGGGGTCCAGGAGACATGTTGATGATTTAGATGAAGCAATTGTTGAGGACAACTCAGAGAGATCTATAGGGGAGAAGTAGTCCAAGTATAAATGAGGTCTCACAGATGTTTCTAAAGCCATTGTAGTAGATGGCACATCCATGAGAGCTGTGGGAATGGTCCGACCAATTTTTTCTCTAATAGATAATAATAGATAGTGTGAGACATGTCCTAGTGAGAAAGGCAGATAGTGGCAAAATCATGCTAAATGAGGCTATTATACAAAGTTAACTCCACTGGGAGTCCACAAACAGCATGGGGTGAAAGCACAGAAACCCCCTCACACAAAATAAAGCTAGCATTAAAAAGTCCCCCAAACATTATCAAGGTTTGCCAGATGCACAGGTCAAAAGCAGTAGTGCACTCATCCTGTGCTTTCCTCAGAATATACCAGACACTAGAAATATGCTGCCACATTGCAAAAACTGAGTGTAACCAGGCAAAGCTTAACTCCTGGAAAGCTGCAGTGGCAATGCAGTGTTTAACTGATATGACTGATCAGCCACACAGCACAATGAAAAGGTTTTTATTTAATGTTAAAATAAATGAATTAATGGTTGATTTTTACATTTTCAACTGGTGTTCATTCATGCAGTTTCATTGTAAAACCAGCCAGTCTTGAACAGATTGATGAAGCTGAGCTTCTTTTTTTGGGATAATGAGCATTTTCCTCTCATTACTTTTGCGATTCGTGTGGTTTCAGGCTCAAAAACTACCTCTCATGTTGGCCTCCTCAGAGTCCCTCTGTCATGTTGGGTCATTTTCTGCCATCACTCAGACAGCTGTGGTCCATCTGGTAGCAAACCGAAACATGCTCCAACTCTAATTCTACATGAAGAGCAGGATACAGTAATGTAAAAACATATAAATTGAGAAAAGGGTAAATGAAAGTAATATGTAACCTTAAAAGAGGTATTTTTTGGTATAGCTTTAGCCCATGCTTGGCTAATAGTTTGAAATTAAGGTTAGTCACTCTGTGAAAAACATTGATCATGCTTGGTAGACAATCTCTGTGGGATCTTCTGTGGTATAAAATTTGGTGTCAGGCACATTAACAAAACTCACAAGTGACAGAGCATGGTTGAGACTGACTTCCATTTCCAGTAGAGCTTTAAGTCAAAGATCAGTGGTGCTCAGCAGCAGTGCTTCATTGCAACAACTGATTAAAACAGTTGTTTGATTTATAGTGGATGAAGACAAGAGGAAACATATTTAATCCAAACTTTGGACTTTGTGAATGGGAGAAATTCCCATGTAGAACTAGGATCAGAATTGTCCAATAAACAGCCTCAGAGTAAAATGTAGTGGCTGAAATGTGATCAGACATATAGAAAAGAAAATGCACCTTAATTTTAACACAAATTTATTTCTAACTATAGCTATAATCAAACTGTAGTTGTACAGTGAAGAACATAGCAAAATAACTGTTGGTACCTGCTTGTAAACAAATAAACAAGAGGCAGCCTTATAGTCAATGGTCTTATGTACATTTACTGTAAATAGAACATGCACATACAGGCCTATGTGTGATGGGAAATTTGTGGACTGTGGTTTTAGGCTGTCATCACAGCTTAGACATTTTCAGTGTATTTTGTCCGGGATGTTGGTACCTCATTTGTTTTGTGGGAAGACACACCATCACATTCTCATTGAAGCAGCTGCATTTCTACTGAAAGTGTGAAATGTCAGATTAAAAAAGAAAATATTGAACATGTATAAAGACTATGCTTTACATCTAGTGTATATGATTTTTTTTTGACTTGTTAGCAAATTACTTTTTCTAAAAGTGACTGTGCTCACTATATAATTAGATTTGGCAGAGATGTGTGCATTGTGTCAGCTGCTTCCCCCTAATAACTGCAGGTTGCATTGTAAAACAAGTTCAAACTAAATAGGATGGTTGCTGCATATAGTCTGTATAGGCTGCTGCTGTTTCTACTCTATAATCATTACAGTACTTGGCTTCATGCGCCAACTCAAGTCAAGAGAAATAATGAGCAAAATTAGGGGATACTACAGCCAATAATGCAAATGAATGCTCCATAAACATTTGCAATCCTACAAGATCTACTTAAAGATCTACCAAAAGGCCAACTTGAGGTTGGTTACACAGAAACCACACACACACACAGTAAAACAAGGGTAAAACAAGGACACGACAATAGCTCTCCAGATCATATTACTGTAGGGTCTTAGTTTAGTACTCAAATAGAGGTAGATTATTGATCTTTAGATGGACAGCAATGGAGCCATGTATCAGGTTTCCTATAGAGTCTAGGTACTCAGACCCTGAAGGATCTGTATGGGGAAGACTCTCGTTAGAGTCAGCAAGGCTGAGTGAGTTAACACCTTCATTTCAAAGATAGCCCCACAAAAAGATTAAAACACAAGAGTTTATTGGATAAAAAAAAATCTTTCAATTTTTGTTAAGGCTTTACCACACTGAGAAGACACCAACCAATCAGAATAATAAAAAGATGGGCTGAGGCAAACGTTTCCTTATTTGGGTGTGTTTGTTAAATCTACCTCAGATTGATAAACTGAAGGGATGAATACAGGCTACAGAATTCTGAGGGTGTCACAGAGAGAATGGAAAGGTACCTAAATGCTAAATAATAAAAAATAGTTAGAGAATAGTGCAAATATTAGTAATATCTGGTTTGCTGCTGTCATGGAATTTCAGCTTCTATTCCTGTTGATTGCTTAGTGTGGGTGTAGACAATTTTAACTGGGACAATGAGTTCATTTACTCAAGGACTGTACATGTATTTCAGTAATTTTTTGAGGTACTTCAGACCAATATGCCACAAAAATTCACATATATTGTATTTTTTTCTCTATTTGTTACAGCTCTAATTCTTAATTACTTTTCAGTATATGACAAACTTATAAAACACAACACATTGTGGATGATTAAACCAGCAGTTAGAATTTCTGATTTTGGCTTGAGACCTTTTATATAAAAGAGGTGTGGAGTTGGGGCCACCTGTTACATTTCAGATGTCAGTTGTTAGCTGTTCCAGCAGATAGTGACTTCTCACATGGTTTCATTTAAATAACCGTTCAGTGCATGACGAGGAAAAGAGCTATCCAAAATCACCATTAAAAAGCAAAACTTTTGTCAAAACTCTAAAATAATGTTTTTCTTCGTGTTCTCCCATTAATCATCTTACAACTCCTCACACTTATCCTGTAACCCCTGGAAGGGGCCAAACCCAACCACTGAACTACATGAAGCCTGAAGCAAGTTTCTTTCAGAACTTTTATTCAAGTGAAGTATGCAAACACTTCGTCCACCATTTAAA